AAAAAAAAAAAAAACTCTGTTCCTCTATTTTTTCTTTATAGCAGGAATCGGAACGTAAACTTGTTCAAAGGCTCATCTACACCGAACACACTGTAATGCTTCATTTTTTATTTTATACGAAATGTTTTTTTTTTTTAGAGCCACATGCTAATTGTTCTGATTCATGATTTTCAACAGACAACGAATCCTTCCTTGTACTAGCAATGTAGTCTGCCCCAAATGTACGTAAAATTCTCGGCTATTTTTGTCAAATTTTACGCACAACCTTTTGATTGATTTATTTATTTTAATTTTTTTTTTATCAGACAAATGCTCTCTGCATGTGAATTGCGGTGGAGATAATTTGAACATCAAAGAGCACAACCGAAAAGTTTTATACGAAGGTGATTCGGGTGGTGACTCAGCAAAATATTTAAGCAGCAACTACTGGGGATTCACGAGCACGGGTGACTTTATCGACGAGCTCCTTTACCAAAACTCGCGCATTATCAAAATCGAGTCTGCGGAAAATCTACCCGATTTGTACAGTACCGCACGTTTGAGTCCTCTTTCCACTACATATTTCCATTACTGCTTGGAAAACGGGAGTTATAACGTGAGCCTGCATTTTGCCGAGATACTTTTCACGAATGACAGCACGTATAATAGTCTCGGGAGGCGAATGTTTGATATATACATTCAGGTTGTTTATAATTTTTTTTCAGTTCATACTCAAAATCTAACTCAATTTTAGGTAAGCCTCACTATCTACAATATTATCAATATAATTAAAATTATATACCAATCAATCATTCTTACACATCTCACCAAATTTAATTTATTATACATCCACTCACATAATTTTAACTAACCATCATTTCACATCTTCTCTCTCCTACTATTATGTCAAATGAACTTTAATTATTTATTTTAAATATTATTTTAATATAAACGTAAAATCCCACTAACAACTAACTATACAATTTTTTTAAAAATTAACTCTAGTTAACAAAAAAAAACCCGTTTTGAGTGGATATGTTAATAGAACCAACTTTCTGTATTAGCAACTTTTTTTTTTTTTTTTAATATGTCAGGAGAGACTAGTTTGGAAAGATTTTAACATTGAAAACGAGGCTCGTGGGGCTCGAAAACCCGTGGTTCGATATTTTAATGCAACCGTGATAGATGGTACATTGGAGATCAGATTTTATTGGGCCGGTAAAGGGACGACACGAATTCCAAACAGGGGAGATTACGGTTCACTTGTGTCAGCTATATCGGTTAACCCAAGTAAGCAAATTTTATTAACCGTGTAATGTAATGTCAAATGAACTTACATAAAGCTATGTTTTGTCTTATATATTTTTGCTTTTTTGGTCACTACAGATTTTAAAGTTTGTTCTCATGGTAACGAGAAAAACTTAACTGCATACATAGTAGCCGGAGTTTTGTCGGTATGTGTTGTTTTCATTATATTGGGTGTACTTTGGTGGAAATTTTTCTTCATAAGAAGAAAAAAACTTGGGAAAGGTATGTTAATGTTTTTCTAATAAATGAAAAAAAAAGGCTCAAATGTAGTGAAAATGCTGATTGGATTACTATACTTCTTGCTCGACAGAATTTGAAGGACTTGAATTGCAAACAGTTGCTTTTTCTTTGAAACAAATTCGAGCTGCCACGAACAACTTTGACGAGACAAACAAGATTGGCGAAGGCGGTTTTGGTCCTGTGTACAAGGTAGTTTTACTAAAAAAAATTGCTTATTTCTTGTTCCCTTTGTTTATTTTTTTTCTTGATTACAATATTCTTACACGTAAACTGGTTCAAGGGTCTTCTGCCAGACGGTACTATAATTGCCGTAAAACAGCTCTCGTCAAGATCAAGACAAGGTAACCGTGAGTTCCTAAACGAGATTGGGATGATTTCTTGTTTGCAACACCCAAATCTCGTGAAGCTGTACGGATGTTGTATCGAGGGAGATCAATTGCTAGTAGTGTACGAGTACATGGAGAACAATAGCCTTGCAAATGCTTTGTTTGGTACAAAATTTCGTTCCATTTGCATGCGTATTTTTGTCAAGGATATGATTATTTATCTATGTCTACTGGATTATTATTCTCCAGATTCTTCTAAAGGAAGCCATATGATGTTAGACTGGCAAATGAGGTTTCGGATATGCATTGGGATTGCGAAAGGATTAGCTTTTCTTCACGAGGAATCGAGACTGAAAATTGTTCACCGTGATATTAAAGCTACAAATGTACTCTTGGATAAAGACCTTAATCCTAAGATATCGGATTTCGGATTGGCTAGGCTTAATGAAGATGAGAAGACGCATATTAGCACGAAAATTGCCGGAACAATGTGAGGTTTATTCTATGTCTATATTAGAAATGGTTATATATATATAATATATATATATATATCTTGCCAATGTTTTTTTT